CTCGCATACCCCGGAGAATACGCCCAATGGCCTTAGATCTCGATTGAGAGGGAAGGAGCAAGCACATATTAAAAACGTTAAGCAAAACACGCAAGAAAAAAGCTACCTCAATGATCGCGAAGCAAGGTTCTCCTGTGTGCTAGATTAGATTGGGAGCGTTGAGAGAAAACGGGGGATCAGATTGGGAGCCTAGAGAGAGAGAGATTGGGGACCTAGAAAGAGAGAGAGAGAGAGCTACTGAGAGACTAGGGGTTGGAGAGAGACTGGGGGACAGTAGAGAGACCTAAGAGAGAGATGGAGCTAGAATGAGAGGGAGGAAGAATGAGTGAGAGATCAGGGGACAGTAGAGAGAGAGACTAAGAGAGATGGAGATAGAGAGAGAGGGAGGAAGAATGAGAGACGAACAGAGAGATCAAGGGGACAACAGACATAGAGAGAGATGGAGCAAAAGAGAGAGGGTAAGGAAGAGAGATCGCGAGAGAGAGAGACAAAAAAAGGGCTGAACCATGAAAAAATATCCTAAAAAACAAAAAGAAAATTTGTAGAAGAATAACCATGGGAGAGAGCCAAAGCATAGAGATGGAGCAAAGATAGAGAGAGAGAGAGAGAGAGAGTTACTTGTATCAAGTACCAAGGAAAAGGATCCGATCGCAATAGGCAGCACCAGATTTGAAGGCATTTGCTAGCGAGCGAGAGAGAGAGAGAGAGAGAGACGCAAATGGCAATGGAATTGACGACACCTTGGCTGTTGTCCTAGTAATGGCGAGAGAGAGGGGGGCTGGAGACACAAATAACATAACGAGATATCTAGGAGATAGGGAGGTGGTATTATGAAGAGAGAGAAAGAGGGAGGTTCACAGTCATTGGCTGCTCTTCTGATAATGGCAAGAGAGAGTGGGGCCGGAGACGCAAACGGCAAAGGGAGAGAGAGAGAAAGAGAGAGGGGGGGAGAGAGGGAGGTGGTATTGTGGGAGAGAGAAGAGAGAGAAAGATTGAGGTTAACAGGTTGAGAGTGTTTGGGCTTTGCATTTTTCTATAAGATAGTACGATCCCAGGGTTTTGAATTCATTTTGAGAGTTGAGTGAAAAATGAGGGAATCAATTGGGATCATTCATTTTGCCCAAACCCATCAAGCCCATTGGGCATATTCTCCCAGGGTACACGAGTGGGCATACCCGATCCTTCATCCTATTCTTATATATATTAACATATATATATATAGATATATAAAATATATATCGGAAAACCCTTAAAAACATCATGGGGCAAAAGTGAACAGTGATTTCCCCCGCAATGGATCTACAAGAGCCATTGCGGTTTCGCGTGATTTTCATGTAAAAAATCGACCGCACCGAACATGCTATATCCGTTGCGATTGATTTATCCATGCCATCCAAAAATATCAGACGGCGCCAAGCCTATGGGAGAAAATACTATTCATTTTCGCCCATAGGCGTTGCGTGATAGCTTCCAAATATATATAGCTACACCACTTGGTGGTGTAGACCCTTAAAGTGCTCAACATTTTGACACTAAATACCCTTAAATTGTAATACAAAATTTTTCAGGTAGGAGCATTTTTGTCATTTAGAAGGGTAGAATGGATATTTTTATAAAAAAATAGTGGCATTCTATTAGTAGTTAAAAATAATTACTGCATCTTGTGGTTGATGTCACACACCATATCGGTGATGTCATTGTCTACTATTGTTAATAAATGTTTTTCTTGCTATTATGAATTTCTAGTTTACCCTTTACTAATTACTTAAAATACCCCTAGACAAAAAGTTACTATATTATAAGATAAGGGTATCTCAATGTCTAAAACAGAAGAGCACTTTAAGGGTCTACACCACAAGTGATGTAGCTTAACAAAACCCATATATATATATATATATATATATATAGGAAAAAATTGGGATTAGCCCACTAGCTCATATGAACATATGAGCCCAATGGCCCAGATTGAATCTGGGCCGATCTGACGATCACGGACGTCCGATAGTGCTTGATTTTATTTTTTTTTCTACAAATCCAAATCGCTTGAAATTTTAGGTGTGTTCTTCTCATCAAGGTGCACCTAATAAAAATATAAAAAAAATTATTCGAGAAAAATAAAATGACCAAAATAGCCCCCAAAATTTTTCAGGGGTATTTTGGTCAATTTATTTCATGTAAAATATTTCTTTGAGCCGTTGGACCCATTTGTTCATATGAGCTAGTGGGCTAATGCCAGCTTTTTCCATATATATATTTCCATATATATATATAGGGAAAAGATCCTGTGTGCCCAAGTACGTACTGCTACAGTAAACGCCAACGGCCCAAATTGAATCTGGGCCGATCTGACGGTCACGACCTCATTTCATGTTTGAATTTTAATTTTTTTTCTACAAATCCAAATCACTTGAAATTTTAGGAGTGTGTTCTTCTCATCAAAGCGCACTTAATAAAAATATTAAAAAAATAACTCGAAAATAAAAATTGATCAAAATAACCCCAAAATTTTCCGGTGGTACTTTTGTCAATTTATTTCATGTAAAAAATATTTTGATATTTTTTGTAGATTCGCCTATTTTTGAATAACACACCAAAAAATTGCAAGTAATTTGGATTTGTAGAAAAAAATTAAAATTCAAGCACTACCGAACATCCGTGATCGTCAAATCGGCCACATCATGGCCTAGATTAAATCTGGGCCATTCGCGTATGGGCGTACAGCAGTGACTCCGATATATATATATATATATATATAGAGAGAG